GAAATAAAGATTCCACCATCCATCTGAACAACCTCAAGGCCAAGAAAGTAAGCCATAAGGCCCATATCAGTTATTTCAAATCTCTTAATGAGTGCCTCCCTGAATTCTGAGATTAGCTTCAAGTTGTTTCCAGTAAAAACCAGATCATCAACATACAAACAGATTAGAATAATATCACCAGAATCCGTGCATTTGACATACAAAGTGTGTTCATGAGGACATCTCATAAAACCACTTTCAACAAAATATGAGTCAATGCAATCATACCACGCCCTAGGCGCTTGCTTTAAGCCATATAAGGCTTTTCTCAACCTGTACACTTTATTTTCCTCCCTTTTCTTCAGAAATCCTGCAGGTTGCTCAACATATATTTCTTCTTCAAGAAAACCATTCAAAAAAGCAGACTTGACATCCATTTGATGCAATTTCCAATCATTTTGAGCAGCGAGAGAAATAACCATTCGAACTGTATCAAGTCTACTCACAGGAGCAAAAACCTCAAAATAATCAATACCTGATTTCTGCTTGTAACCTTTTGCTACCAACCGTGCCTTAAAACGGTCACTTTCTCCATTTGACTTGTACTTCGTTCTGTAAACCCACTTCACTCCAATTGGTTTCTTTCCAGGAGGTAAATCTGTTAACTCCCAGGTACCATTCTTTTCAATGGCATGTATCTTCTCATCCATCGCCTTAAGCCAATAAGTTTCTGTAGCAGCCTCCTCAAAAGATAAAGGATCACAATTTGCAAAGAGAGCAAATTGAACATTCTCTTCATCAGACAAGTCATTATCATGACCCAAAACATAATCTTATAAATATATTAATGGAATAGTATAATCCACTTTTAAAAGTAACAAAGTATTTCAAATATATGAATAAAGTATTTCAAATATATGAATAACATAATGGTGTATAGGGAAGTTGGCAACATTGGATAAGAAGGTAAAGTTGATATATCTTTTTGAAGGCTCCTCCCATATTACCATGGTTGAAGGCTCCTCCCATATTGAATAATAAATTAGATATTTGGAGGCTCCAATACTTAATAATAAAGACTTATTTGATATTTATTGAGTGCTTATTATCCACTTGCATTGAAGATGTGGGTGATATTGTTCGATAACATATCATAATGCTTCAACAAAATTGTGTTGATCTGTGAAGAGGGTCCTATGAGGCTGGCTGGTTCAAAATTCAAAGATAATATTCATTAGTGAATGCAACTCCTTAGATAGTTCTGCACAAAGTATTAAATTAGAAGTTGTATGAAAGGTTTAGACAACTTAGTAGGTAAAGATATTTATGATAAATTAAATCTTACGATGAGATTAGATTTAAAGATTGTAATCAAAATACTATTACTTAGAAAAGTATGAAAATGGGTAGATATGTCAACGGGTGGGACGGGGCATGCCATTTACATTAAAAAAATAATTTGCCTAACTTAAAACAAAAATAATAACAGAAGAGCAATGTTAAAGTTCTTTAGTTTTACAGCTCAACAATTACTTCTTTATATGTTGATTCTTGATTGATTTTGTTATACTTTAATTTATTAATAAATAAATTCTTTTTTAAATCTGTGACAGGATCACTTAATTAACAAATACTCAATACGTATAAAGTATTTTGCTGTTACTTCTGCACAATAAAAGGTAAAATCAAGATGGAAAATAGCTTCTTCTTTTCGAAATGAAAAAATAGCTTTAAAAAATTCATAGAAGAAATCTCAAGATATTGAAAAATTCTCAATTTGTTTAAAACAATTATTAGGACGCAAATAAATTAACAGAGCAAATATTACTTTTAGTTATATACTATTGTGACATTGTCACTTTTAATCATACTTTTTCAATTTTGTCATGTTACATTCTTGTCTTTATTTATTTGCCACAATTAGTCATTCTTTTAAAATTTTGTGAATCTACCATTTAATAAATATGAGTAATATGTTATGTAATCATTCATCAATTAAAAGAGTTCATAAGGAATAGAGAGAAATTACATGTTCGAACAAGAGGCTTGAATAATTAAATTATATGTTAATCCTCTTTATTATATGATGAACGAGAAAATTTTAAATGGATAACTAATTATGGCAAGTAAATAAAAATCAAAGATGTAATGAGGCATAATTAAAATGATAGGGTTAAATGTAACCATGCCACAATAGTTGATGATTAAAAATAAAATTTTGGCCCTAAATTAAAATATATAAGTTATTACTATATTTCTTAAGAAATTTTTACTATGTTGAATAATGTTAACGTTATGTTTTTGTGTTAACTCTGATTTTTCAACTTTAGCAGATTATATCATGGACCTCCTAAACATACTCCAATGCTATGAAAGAAGTGAGTTCCGAGTTGCTTAATTAATTTCAAGTTTCTTGTCGTCTGTACTCTAATTCAGATGTCTTCACCACCACTGATTGGTCAAAGTCTTACAAGTCACAATGACTGCTACTAAAATTCTTAATGAAATTGAACCACTATTGAAAACAAAATTTAACTTTAATTGATCGATCCTTTAAACTATATTGTCGGTTCGGTAGCTATGTTGTAACTAGCAATGTATCTTATATATTACTCCTCCACCCAAAAAAAAAAAAAAAAAAAAAAAAAAGAGAAAGGAAAGGAAAGTAGATATGGTAGGAAGCAGTAACTTTTTAATTGTTGAAGTAAATGATTTTGAAACGCCGCACGGGGCGTTCACCAAGACACCAACCCATGTGGGACCCCCACGCCCCCAACTTCAACAATCAACACCAAAAATAATCTCATAATTACTTGTTAATTATGTCCCCGCCTTCCCCCCACTACGGGCCTACGGCATTACTAAAAATAAAATAAAAAAATAAAATAAAGAGTAAAAGATATACTTAAGAAATTAGTTTTTTTATTATAAGAAACCTAGCTACTCAAATAGAATATTGAAAACCAATTTCTCAAGTAAATTATTACATAGTCGTGCGAACGTCATTATTAAATTTGATGTACATTGAATAAAGATTCTACAATATTAATAAATAGTATAAATGTCATTTGTTATAAATAAAAAATTGTTAGTCACATTTGATAGTGTTACGAGGCTAAACTCATTATAAAATTGATTAGAAATATAAATAGAACGAGAGGAAAATAATAGTATTAATTAGATGTTAGGTTTGAACAATATTTACAAATAAATAAAAATAAAGTTGGGGCATAACAAGAGTTAAGCCCAAATAAAGTGATTGTGGTCCCAATCCTGAGGACACACTTGAAGTAAGATTTAAATACTAGTGTAAATGTGTAATGATTGGACGTGTAAATTAAAGGAAAAGACTCTTTTTTTGAAAGCTAAAGGAAAAGACTCTAGTCTGAAAGGTGATGAGGATGGTGTTAATTAAAAGGGGGTAGGGCACCATTTTATACTGTCCCTCACCTGATTATAGCGTGAATTGAGTGGTTTTAAAGATACGATAAACTTGGTTCACCTATTTGGCCATCCAGGATCTCCCCACATGTTACTGCCTACCCCCGTTTACTTATAAATATTTTTTATTGATTTAATTTACACAAGATATCAAGTAGACTAGCTAGTTACTATGATAAATGCGTACGTCTAATAAGGTTTGAGTCCAATTCTTGATGGCCTCTTAAGTAATGACAAGCATAATTGGGAAACAAAAATGTTATTTATATGTAATTTAGCAACTAAAATCACAACTTTCCTTTTTTTTTTTTTTTTTTTTTTTTTTTTTTTTTTTAAATATGTTAAATTTTATCACTAAAATCTAAAAATTTTGAAATTCATAACTTTAAACGGATTTATTAATTCTTTCCGCACTCTTAACTTTTGGTTAACTTTATTTTAATGATATATTAACATTATATTATGTCCAAACTTATTACCATTAAAGAAGTTTTAAATATCATCCACCCAACTAATTGTCTTAAGTTTCAACTAACGTTAGTACAGAAAGAAAAATATGTTTATGACAATGGTATACTAAGAGCATGGAGTTGGTAAACCAAGGAAACTAGGAGTTGGGGTGGCTTGGGTGGGGGGTGGGGAAGTGGAGGTGAGGTGTAAATGTATATTTCTTAGCATTTTAGGTCACCATCTCACCAACTCTGTTTTTCATCGTTTTCTTTCCTCTCCCTTCAATTCACTCATAATAAGAAATTAATTTTCCTAATTGGGAGATATTATCATATTTAATTAGACACAGAAATATAAGAGAATAGGTTTAATATATATACATTAAGTAATTAAATTTTTTTGCCTCATTTTATGTGTTAAGTTTGGTCATTAATATTCACTTAAGTTATTTATAATTTTTTTGTAATATTTAATTTAATTTAAATATATAAAAATAATATCTATTTTTTGAGAGACGAGGTAACCCGGTCCACAATCACTTAAACTTGACTAAGAAAATGTAGAGTTAATACCTAATTTAATCCTCGACTATATTGTTTTTCTTTTTTTTTTTTTTCAATTTAGTTATAAACGACATTTTTGTGCTTTATTAGATACTCAACTTTGATGATTTTACTCAATTAAGTAATCTCATAACTTGGTAATTTCACTTCTATTAATACCAATTTAGTCATTGATTATTGTAATTTTACCTAAATTAATTTTCGATTATAATGATTTTACCCAATTTAGTCATTGACTATAATAAATTTTTTCGATTCAATCCTTAATTCTAACAGGTGAGACTCAATTGGGTAAAACCATTAAACTCGATAACGTAATTAAGAACAAACCATCGTTTAAGACTAAATCAATATAATCGAGAAGTAAATTAGGTATTAACTCGAAAATGTTGATATTTCCTTATATGAAAAGTTACCTTATTAGGATTTGTATTTGTTAAAAAAAATAAGGTGAATGTAGCGGTCAAGTATGACTTGGTTGTGATTGGGTATTGGTCGGCGGTCATTATCATAATCTCTAGTGCTAGCCGGTAGGTGAGCTCCCAACACTATATAACACCTTTCCGCTTCCATTTTCTCTTTAGAGGCTGATCTCAAGTCTCACCCATAACATCAACAACCACACACCCACCACCACCAAATCTCCCAGGATTCATCTCATTATATCTCAAACTCCTTCAATCAATCCTCGTTTTGATTCCCAGGTAATTTATAATCCTACGTTTTTCCATCTCTTTAATTCGCTTATATCTCATAGCAATCCATCATGAATTTTGTCTAATTAATTTTTTTGTTTTGAAAAAGGGAAGAGATGAAGATCAGCGTGAAGGAGTCGACGATGGTGCGGCCGGCGGAGGAGACGCCGCGGATTAGGCTGTGGAACTCGAACGTGGACCTGGTGGTGCCCAACTTCCACACGCCGAGTGTCTACTTTTACCGGCCCAACGGCGCCGACGACTTCTTCGAGTCGAAGGCGCTCAAGGACGGGCTGAGCCGGGCGCTGGTGCCGTTCTACCCCATGGCCGGCCGGCTCACGAGGGACGAAGATGGGCGTATTGAGATCGACTGCAATGGCGCCGGCGTGCTGCTCGTCGAGGCGGAGTCCGATGGCATCGTCGATGACTTCGGCGATTTTGCGCCCACTTTGGAGCTCCGGCAGCTTATCCCCACGGTGGATTATTCTCAAGGAATTGAATCCTACGCTCTCCTAGTTTTGCAGGTATGTTGTTGGTTCAATATGCGTTACCATATGAATTATTAGATACGTGCATAGTAATAATAATAATGATTTTAAAATGTTGTGCACAATATTCTAAAGAATAATTACAATTGCAAAGTTGATGTGTTTAGTATAAAATTTATTGATATAATTTAATATTAGGTAATATATTAATGTAAATTTTGCCGTTCTTCATTTTTCATTTTCATATTTATAAATAAAAAAATGTAAAAAAAAATAAAAGTATTTTTTATTTGTATAATAATTAAATTCCGTAACTAGATCTACCTTGTAACAGAGTTAATAGTGCTAAAAAAATTCAATAGTTAGATTAATTTAATTTTTCTCTCTAGAAAACAAATCATGGAACTTGAGTTATAAAATAAAATTAGAAAAAAAAAAAAAAAGAATTCCTCCCAATTAGTAGGTGAAGGGTATAGTTGGGATAGTTTATGGATAAAAAAAGTCTTTTGGTTTGACTTGTCTTGTCCTTCTAGGTTCCACCTCACAAAAGCTTCCACTTTTGTTTTATTTCCTTTAAAATAAATGCAAATAATTTTATTTTCTCATATAATCTTTTAGCAAAAATTTAAAAAGCAAAATTACCCACTTTATCAGCAAAAAAGTGTACATACTTTTTTTTTTAATCAATTTTTAAAGCCTTTTTTGTAATAAATAGAACATTTTTTTTTTTATTACAACATAAATATTAAATTATTTTATTTTATTGGTTTGGTTGTCCTCAAAGTGATCTGCCACTTAATTCCTAATTAATTGCAGGCCAAACTATTGACTAATGAACAAAAAATACACACAAAATGTCTAAGCACAAATTATTTTTTTAAGTTTTCATACATCTTTATTTCACTTACCTAATAATTATAGGGGAGATGTTATTACATTATATGTAGTTGGTAATCAAGGAATAAAATTAAATGAACCAAATATCTTTATCAAAATTCTTCACTATTCAATATGACATTAAAACACATTTTATTCATTAGTTTCCATAAATTGACCAATTCCAATTAGGGTGAATTGAAATTATTTACAATTAAATTTCATAGTTATTTGACTGTTTTATTGCAACCTAAAAACAGGTTACACATTTCAAATGCGGCGGAGTGTCCCTGGGTGTCGGAATGCAACACCACGCGGCGGACGGAGCTTCCGGCCTCCACTTCATCAACACGTGGTCCGACATGGCTCGCGGCCTCGACCTCACCGTGCCGCCGTTCATAGACCGGACTCTCCTCCGTGCGCGGGAGCCGCCTCAGCCGCAGTTCCAGCACGTGGAGTACCAGCCGCCGCCGGCCCTCAAGGCCTCCCAACCGCAGAATGCAACGTCAGACACGGCGGTCTCCATATTCAAGTTATCGAGAGATGAGATCAGTGCCCTGAAAGCCAAGTCCAAGGAAGACGGCAACACCGTCGCCTACAGCTCCTACGAAATGCTGGCTGGCCATGTCTGGCGTTGCGTGTGCCGGGCACGTGGGCTGACGGAGGATCAAGAAACCAAGCTGTACATAGCCACCGACGGCCGTTCCAGGCTGCGGCCTTCCCTTCCGACTGGCTATTTCGGCAACGTCATCTTCACGGCCACCCCCATAGCCGTCGCCGGCGACCTCCAATCCAAGCCTGTCTGGTTCGCGGCCAGCAAGATTCACGATGCGCTGGGCAGGATGGACAACGATTACCTCCGATCAGCGCTGGACTACCTGGAATTGCAGCCGGATCTGAAAGCTCTGGTTCGCGGCGCACATACTTTCCGGTGCCCAAATCTGGGGATTACGAGCTGGGTTAGGCTGCCGATCCACGACGCCGATTTCGGATGGGGGAGGCCCATCTTTATGGGGCCGGGAGGGATTGCTTATGAAGGGCTGAGCTTCATGCTGCCCAGTCCTGTAAATGATGGCAGCTTATCAATCGCCATTTCTTTGCAGGAAGAGCATATGAAACTCTTCAAAGACTTCCTGTATGATATTTGAACCGACAAATTAAAACAACATCTGCTGTCCGGTTGTACCCGGCTTGTTAATGTCTGGTTTTTTCCTTGGACAAATGGACAATATATCTTGGAGTTTAATATATAGTAAGTGAGATCTTTGATAATATATAGATATATGATTTTCATGTATGTATATATCTGGACAGAAAATGTACTAAGGAACTTCTATGGTGCAAATTGGCACCTTAGCTTGTTCCCTTTTGTACATTTGGGATTGTTGGTGTTAATATAATAAACGCACGCACGCTACAATCCAACATTAATAATTCTTGGTGGCATGGAATCACAAGAACAGAGAATGTATGTGCGTACAAATTGAAAGGGTTCAGACCCTTTTCTTTGGGATACAGTGTAATATTTATAGAGTTTCTTAGACCAGGTTATCATTTTATTACAAATGAGATAGTTTCACATGTTCTGAATTGGACCATTTGTCCTGGGACGTGTTAGTGAAAATATAGGAGAGTTATAACAAATTCTAGATGTCTCATTAATACTTGAGACCGTGCAGTGGATCGATTGGGCCGAGTGTATACTATACGTCGTTGGTTAGCTAGGCTTCGTGTTTCCTCGTAATAAATAACTTAACTTCTCAAAACTTTTTGTCTAACCTAATTGAGTTGGTGATGATTGGCTCCCAAACCGCGCAGGTCAGTAGTACTATTTATCCTCAATAACGACCATGTATGTTATTTGAATCGTATTGAGTATTGTACGTATATCTTTATCACTACAATATTCGGTACGATCAAGCATATATATCATACTACAAAAATACTAGTATTCATAGACACCTTAAAAATTTCAAAGATGTACTAAAATTGTAGTACATACATCACACGTACTATTGGATAGATATTGATCCACAAATGCATTGTTTTTCTCCAAACAAACAAAAATACAATCCTCAATCACTCAACTCCTCAAAACTTGTGTCTAAGCTAATCAAGATAGGTTCCCAACCTCGCTCAGAGTAGTATTATTCTCAACAACGACTATATATGTTATATAAATTGTATTGAGTATTGTCAATCTTTAATTACCTGTACAATATTCAATGCAATCAGACATATTATACATAAAGTTATACCAGTACAAAAGATATTAGTATCAATTAATGACACTTTAAAAATTTCAAAGGTGTACTAAATTAGCAACTACATCACACTACTAACAAATGTATTGTTTTTTCTTCAAACAAACAAACAAACAAAAACACAATCCTCAATCACAACCTCATCACCAAGCTAGCTAATTAAATGCTAGTGCCTAGATCAACCAAATACTACAAAACACAACCTGGTTAAGCCTTCTGAGGATTAAACGAACCGATGATTGCTGATCCTAAATGACAGTACAAGGTATTCAAACTGGGAGAAAGAACATCTATATATCTAGGCAACAAGAACCAGGAGAAGAATGAAGCTGAAGCAGACAACATAAGTAGTTGAGATTATTAAGGTTGGATGTCCAAGATTTTTGGTGTCAGGTGGACGATGAACAATGTTGGGCGCCCCGCCGGATGATCCCTTATGCCCCTGTGACTTCCTCACCACCATGGCATGCCTGGATTTAGAATCTTCCCCATTATCATCACTCTTCATATTCACAAAGCCTGCACATTTTACATTAATCAGTAGCCATTTCTTTGCAAGAAGAGCATCATGCATGAAACTTTTCAAAGAGTTCCTGTACGATATTTGAAGAAAACAACCTCTGCTGTCTGGTTTAATTTGTTTATTATGGGGATGTTTGGTAAGTAGCTATTAGTTGATTGTGTTAGTGGGTTTAACTAGTTGATAGTATTAGTTGTTTGAAGAAAAGTGTTTGGTAAATTAGTTGTTAGTTGATAGCTGACTTTATGCAAAATGACTTTCTCAAAATGTGGATAAAAAAAGCTGCTACAAAAAGCTAATAAATCAGTCCATCATTAGATGTTTAACTTGATTAAACAATTAATTTTAGTATTTTGGAGCAATAACCTGTTACAAAAAGTTAATTAATCAAACACACATATTGATTGTTGAATCAAGTCAAACTGCTAATGACGGTCAAATAAGTCAAACTATGTTACCAAACAGAGCCTATGTATATTGGTTCTACTTTACACTTAATTCTAACACAATAATGTTGCGCATGCCCATATATCATTTCAGTGATCTTTGATGTACATGTACTCCAAGTACACAATATGTTTTGCCATTATTCTTTCATAGACAAAAATGCATTCAACCAAATACTACAAAACACACCCCGGTTAATTTGCATTGAGAAATCACAGATTGCAAATCATAGTTGACACAAAACATTATATTCAAACTGGGCCACACAACATTCAGGCAATAAAAACCAGGAGAAGAATGAAGCTGAAGTAGACAACTGTACTTGAGATTAAGGTGGGAGATCCCAGGTTTCTTGTTCCAGGTGGATGATGAACAACATTCGCCCCGCCATACACCCCTTTCCCCTTCTGTGCCTTCCCCAGTTTCATGGACTCAAAATCCTCCCCAATATCATCAGTCTTCGAATCGACAGAGCTTCTAGAGCCTGCAAAGTTTACATGCATCAGTACTGTAAGTAAGCTCCTAGACAGCAGAACAGAAAACATGTACATATATATATGCAGATGTTACCACTTACCACCATTAATTCTTTCTTGTCCCATGTTGCTGTCCCTCGAGATGTCCAGGCTTGTGTCTTTCACAGCATGAGTGAGTTCCAGTGCAGAACCTGAGAGGAGTTGATGATGAGCAAAGATTAGGATAAAGAAACAAGAAACAGTTGCAGTTTTCATTGTTCTTTAATTTGACACAGCTAGCCAAATGTTTGACAGTTCACAATAAGGTTCTGGGGTTTCTATGTTTTGCTGCAGCTAGCTAGCTAGGAGAAAAGAGCTGAGGGAATTGGTGTGATTTAATTTGCACAAAAGGTATGGCTAATCTTGATGTAGGAGAGGATGATTTATAGGATCTTATAGATGCTAAGCTCCTTTAATCACTTTTCCCAGAAAGTTTGTGGTTAAAAAAAAAAAAAAAACATTACTTTTCTTTTAATTTCACACACTGACAGCATCCAAAATAGTGGATTTTAGGTGGTTTTTGCATATTTCTTCTCTATAGAGGTTGCTCCCACACTGCCGTTGGTGAGACTCGATCCCTGGTCATTCTTCCAAAGTTTCACCTCTATGACCAGTTGAGCTACCCATACGGGCATGATTTTTGCATATTTGAATGCACATGTGGAGGAGAGAGAATGAGCGGAGAGAAGAATTAGAAGTGTTGCAAGGAGATGATTTTTAGCTCTGCAATGCGTGAAGTGCACCAAAAGCGCCCAGCCGAAAGTGCACCTGGGCGCGTAATTTCCTTTGCTTTTTTTTTTTTTTTTTTTTTTTTTTTTTTTTCTTTCTATCTCTTTCTCTCTCCCATGTTCTCTTTCTTACTCATCTCCGTAAAAATTTCTCAAAAACTATGTTGATACTATAATATAAAAGCAACTACAAGAATTTAGACCAGTACACACCAACAATATTTGCAAAAAGGTTATTCGTGATGATGCTTCAAGAGGGGGTTTAATTTAAAATAACGGAGGGCCATAAACCAGGCGGCCATAATGTGTTGCCATTCAATCTATTCACGAATTAGTCTCACTAAAATGTACACTGTTTTGGTGGGAATACACGTGAGTTAGTTTTTGATTAGTATAGATTGACAGTAGTGAGAATTGGGATAAGGTTCTTCTCTGATCTTTTAGAATCTTTTTCCTTTTTGGTGCTCCATAATTCTGAAAAGTGGAAATCTTGAATAATACTACTTGACAGCAGAAGGAACAGACATACCGACCGACAGACATCTTCATCAACTAGTGCGAGAATATATAAAGCATTAACGTTAGTCTAAAACCCAAAATTCACAATGAATACATCAATCTATGCTTATATCAACCATGGAATTGGAATATGATTCCCACTTCAATTCTCTTTAGTTTACACCATTCTTGTGGAACACCATTTCTTGACATTGTGCCTTAGAAGATTGCATGAAGGAGGCAGATTAGAATCCCATGGTGTGTACTGGCTCCCAATAGTAGGGCTGATAAATTCAACTCCAGTTAAAAAATATATATATGAGTTAATCACCATTTTGGTCACTCAATTATTTTCCAACGGGTAATGTAATTCCTAGTTTTCAATTTCAACCAATTAGATTCTTGAATTGTTTAAAATTTTGTCAACTAAACCTTTTCAGGGACAAAAGTGGAACGTGCTTAATTGATAAAATTTTAAACAATTTGATGATCAAATTAGTTAAAATTGAAAATTAAGAACTACTTTGATAATTGGAAAACAATTAAGGGGCCAAAATGTTGATTTCCCCAAAAGAATATTGTTTAGTTAATGGAACCGTATTTGAGTAAGCTTAATTAGTTAGGAAGCTACTGTACAATATCATTTCCCTTGCCATTATAGGAGTAAAGCTCTGTTTGACAGAGCTTATTTAGGAGCTTATAACTTATTTTAAGTTACTATCTACTAATAAGCTATAAACTCTATTTGGTAATGTTCCTAAAATAAGCTCGTAACTTAAAATAATAGGTTATTTTGGAACACTATCTTAGGCTCTGTTTGGCAAACCTAGCTGAAAAGCTATAAGCTAGGAGCTGAAAGCTGAAAAGGAGTTGAAAGCTGAAAAGCTATAAGCTCGGAGCTGAAAACTGAAGAGCTGTTAAGCTAGCTGTTATGATTGAAAGTGTTTGGTAAAAATAGCTTTTTGATAAGCTGATAAATGTAAAAAGACTAAAAAGGACATCTTCATAAAATTTAAATTAGTTTGTTTACATATTAAAATGTAACATTTTGTCTTTAAAAAAAATATATTTTGAAATAAAAATATTAGCATAATCATGATCTAGCATCTCATAATGAAGTAGCAATATTGTTGCAAATCTCATAACAACAACAACAACAACAATAATAATAATAATAATAATAATAATAATAATAATAATAATAATAATAATAATAATAATAATAATAATAATAATAATAATAATAATATTTGCGGTGAAAAGTTGCGGATAAAGGAGAAGAGAAAATGGTTTTAATTGAGAAGGTAAATTATGTCATTTCTTTAAAATAATAAGGATAAAGATGGAAAAAAAGTTAGGAAGCTAGGAACTTATTTTGAAACGCTACCTAAAGTAGCGTTGCAAAATAAGCTCTTATTTTAAGCTAGGAGCTTATTTTGGGAACATTACCAAACAGAGTTTAAAGCTATAAGCTCCTAAATAAGCTCTGCAAAACAGAACCTTAAACAACATTTCAAAATAAGCTAGTACCTTCCTAATTTCTTTTCCATCTCTGTCCTTATTGTTCTAAAGAAATGACATTCTTTATCCTTTCCAATTAAAATCCTTTTCTCTTCTCTTTTATCCACAACTTTCACCGCAATTATTATTATTATTATTATTATTATTATTATTATTATTATTATTATTATTGTTGTTGTTGTTGTTGTTGTTGTTGTTGTTGTTGTTGTTGTTGTTGTTGTTGTTGTTGTTGTTGTTGTTGTTGTTGGTGGTGGTGGTGGTGGTGGTGGTTTTAGGGTTTTTAGGCCTAGGGAGGTCCAACACAACCGTGGTTGGTGGATTCACCTTTCAAACAAACTATGAGACTTGCAAGGAAAATAGCTATAACTTTTTGTATATTTCTTGTGTACTCCTTGAGCAATTCAACTTGGCTGGCTCTTACATTCTCAAAGGGCCCCTTTTATAGTGGGTCACCCTTGCTAATTCTAAATGCGTACATTAAAGTGTCATAATATGGCCTTATTAAACTTTAGAGGCCGTTAGGCTGCCGTTGCTGGGCCTCCCAACGGCCTGTTTGACCGAGCCTTGAAGAGGCTCTTAAATGCCAACGGCTATCTTGGTGAGCCGACGCCTCGCTCATGCCGACTCCCCGCTCGCGTCGACCATCTGCTCGCGCCGGCCTCCTGGACTCGTTTATAGCTATCTCTGGGCTTTCCTTTCTCTTTGTTGGGGTCAATTTTCCGTGGGCCGAATCTTCATCCCTTCTTATCTTCTTTCTTCTTCGGGCCCTAGGCCCATTGGGTCCGTAACCCATCAATTATTATTATTATTATTATTATTATTATTATTATTATTATTATTATTATTATTATTATTATTATTATTATTATTATTATTATTATTATTATTATTAGATTCGCAACAATATTGGTACTTCATTTTGAAATGCTAAATCATTATTATGCTAATAATTTTATTTCAAAATATTAATTTATTTTGTGTTGTAATGCAGATTTGTCTGCAGGCCTTTAGCTCGCGAAGAATAGTAAAAACAGGAAGAAGAAAATAAAGAACAGAGGAAAGAGATTTCTTATTTATTCTTTTTCACTGTACATCACTACATCAATATATATAACAGCTATTATAAGATCATACCATAAATATAAAGCCGTTACCAATCATATCATTAATGATAGAATAATGTCCATAATTATATTTTACAACACTCCTCTTGGACATTATTTTGCCATAATCTTGTCTCATTAAAAGCTTGCTAGGAAAACCCTGTGGGAAAAAACCTAGACAAAAAAAAGAGTGCAAGGTTTATGGGTAATTATATTCATGCCTCATTAAAAACTTCACTAGGAAAATCACGTGGGAAAAACCTAGTTGAAGAAAAGAGTACATGATATTTGTAAGAACATATATTGTACTGATTGCCTCATTAAAACCTTAACTTAAGAAAACCCTGTGGGAAAAAACTTAGTTAAGGGAAAAAGAGTACAATCATAAGCCTTCAAGGCACAATTTGCATAATCTTCTGGATTTTTGGGGTTTGTCTACATAATAAACAACTATTTTGTGACATTTCCCCATTGTCATTACTATATCATACTCATGTCTCGCTAAAAACCTCACTAGGAAAACCACTTGGGAAAAACCTAGTTGAGGAAAAGAGTGCATGATGTATGTATATTCTTGTTTTAGATTAGCTACCTCATTAAAAACCTTAGATTTAAGGAAAAACCCCGTGAGAGAAAAAAAACATAACTAAGGAAAAGAGTACAGCCGTTTAGTTGTCAAGATCCAATCTTCAGGATTGATCTATGTAAGATAATACTCCCCCTCAAGATAACAATCTTCAAATCTCACGCATAAAATATATTTCAAAAATTGTAGAAATGGGTTAGTCAAATCTTCTAGATTGTCACTAGAGTGAATATGTTGCACAATAATTTTGCGACTCTTCTAGAGCCCGTATTGGTTGGGTTTTGACGCTACATATGTTTTGTCAATTATTCTTTAACATACTCATATATTATTTGTGCAAATCAAGCGTTATTGTCCTTGTAGGTTTTTGGGTTTTCAGGCCCAGGGAGGTCCAACACAACCTTAGTTGGTGGATTCACCTTTCACACAAAATTGCAGAGAAATGGCAGTACTCGTAATGGCTTTCAGTATGTCTCCCCTCTCTCTTGGGATCAACTTGTCCCGATTACAAGGGTGGTGGAGCCTTTATATAGCAGGCTCCCCTCCTACCGACTTGAAGGCCATTAATGGCTGACTTCAAGGCTAGTTACAACTATCGAGCCGTTGGGTGCCGTTACCGGATCGGCCAACGACTCTTTGGATCCGTTACAGTCTGACCGAGTCCTGCCTTAAATGCCTCCAACGGCTCCGGGGGGCGGGGTCGGGTCTTCTTAAATGAGGCCTTTCGACGCCCGCCTAACGGCTCTGAGCCGTCCCTTCATGGACTTGGGCCTGGGCCGACTCCTGGACTCGGCCCGAGTCCCCATTGGGCTTCTTTCACTGCTAGTCCACGTTCCTTATCTTGGATTCCCTTCTTGGGCCAACCAATCTTGGGCCGGGGTTCTCACCCCATCAACTAGTCCCTCACTTTTCCACATCCGGTCCACTAATCCGGATTTGGAAAAGTAGTAACCGATCGTCTTCTTCAATCTCCGAATCCATGCATTGAATGTCCCTTATGACACCCAGATTCTTTGCCATCTTTCCGGA